ATACGTCCGTCACCGGCTGCCTTTATCCTTGTACCAGGAGCAAGGTAAACGCAGCCCGGACCAAAAGTTTACAGGGTGACTCAGGTTAAGAAAAAAAAAAAAAGTGAAAAAGAGAAGGAAACATACTTTGAGATTTCAGGCTTATTTTCTTATTTGACAGTCAAATCAGCAAAGAAGCCACGCAATTGTCTCTGACAGAAGAATTGTCTAAATATGAAACAGTGCTGGTGTGTGCTAGCTTCCGAACAAGCTTTGCACTGAACTGAGCGTCGTTTCTCTTGGCTGCCTTTGCTAATTGCCACCAAGATTCAGTTTAGCACAAAAATAATGCTCCTATCTCGTGGGAACCATGCCTCACAACTGTTACCGAGACCAAGGCTATGGGAAGACAATCCCAATCCAACACCACCTTTCGCCAGCTGTAGGCTGTACCGTGTGCTTTTGTAACCTAATAATAATAGACCTTTCTTTCAACTACCCGAACAACTGCTTGATTGCTGCCAAAATAACAAGTAAATAGTATGAAAGCACTGTAATTATTTTTGGGGAAGAACAAACTATTGTTGGCACAATCCGGTTTATAAACTTGAGTACCTAATCTGCAACACACAGGATTGAAGTCACACCCGTGAGTAGTCTCAGTGGCTTTTAAGGAAGGACTGGCAGTGTTTAAAGATAAATGCCGTGTTTAAAGATAAAGTGCATCGTGTCCGTAGGACTACAGCCTAACCAGCGCTTGCCATAATGTCATTTGACATTATCCATCAGTCTCGGACAAATTTTAAAATTAGCTCCATTGGATCAGCACATTTAACTTCAATTCGCATCCTTTCCACTTCTGTGTGACGGACTTCTTGCTCCTCTCTGAAGTGTTTTCATTTATTATTGTGAAAGTGTGAATTTGCAGTATATCACCTATATTTACCTTTCAACCAACATATGTGCCTACCACACGGAATTTTATCATTGAAAACATTATTAAAATAAAGGTATATTTTAATGTGTTAGTTGTGTAAGTGAATTCTTTATTTTGCCTGTAATGTGGACATAACACAAGTCCTCTGTAATGTCCTGTAGCCAGTAACTAAATTAATGTACCCAAAACAGTGTGCAGTTGTACGTATCTACATTAGAATATATAAATCTGATGTTTGTGTTACCATGACCCAAGCAACTTATGGGCCTTGGCAAATATTTTATATAGTTTCTTACCAGTTTTGCTTTTCCTTTATGACTTACTCTGTATATTCAATGCTTGACATAAGTGGATTATTTGAAACTGTCTGGTATATTAAATATGTAGCTGCAGTTCCTCAGAAGGGCCTGGCTGGGGCTTAAGGCAGAAGCTGTGCATGGGGGTAGCACGGCACAGGAATAGCCCTGACCCACCTGCCCCTGCATCGCGTCACATCGGTGTGCAGTCCCAATTAGATGGGGGCAGTCCCCTTGGCCTCATTGCTGCCACCAAGACAGGTGGGTCAGGAACCACGCTCCTGGACCCTCCAAGACTGGTTTACGATGACTAGTTTGGGAGCAAGGGATTTAACTATATGTGAGTGCATTGTGAGTGTGAATACCCACAAATGTACTTACATATATATATTTTTAGTTCCTCTTATCTGCACCCAGGTGTTTCACCCAGTAGGGCGATAGGTCCCAAGCAGAGAGGTGCTCTACAGAGGGAGGAAAACACCTTTAGCAACTTAACACCGTGACGCTGATGGGGTCCAGCCGTCCTCCCCTCTCTTGGCGTCCCTTCCTTCCCATTTCAGTGGGGAGGGGAGCACAGCAGCCGCTGGGCAAGGCTGGCTCTCTCCTAGCCAGCAGCAGTGGTTTCTGCATGGCTTTTGATGGGCCTTGGCTTCCCTGTACCTCATCAGCCTGGCTGAGTTGCATCTCCTCTCTCCAGGGAGGCTGGGTGCCCACCCTACAAAGAAGAGGTAGGAAGGGGGGAAAGAAGCAATCCCATATTCTCTCTTCTGCCCTGCTCATATTAATATCACATCAGCCCTTCTCATATTCCCATAATCATCTATGCCTGTCTCACCACAGTAGTCTCTGTGCAGGTCTCCACATTCACTATCATTCCAGTACCCCGACACCCCTAACCCTTAACACTATTCTAACAGTCCTGCTTGAAGAACCATTTTCTTCACCCTCCAGTTACGACCAACCCAGCCAGACCTTCAGCCTTTTTTTTGAGCTTCTTTCAGCTCGACTGCTTCTACCACCACTATGTAAGCAAAGGCAGGTGGCAGCTGGGACTTTGCCTAATGCATAGCACAGGTAATATTTGTGCTTGCTTTTAGTATTCATTCCCATAGTGTGCATCACCGTGTGATACAGTTAATAGGTGACACCTTAAATGCTCACATTCTCTTACAGCTTTTTCTTTTAACAGTGAAAATAATTTTACCAGTTTACTAAAAGAGGGAAACCTGGCTAGAAATAAACATTTTCTTAAACAAGTGCAGCTGAAAATTTCAGAAAAAAGCACCAAGCGTTCAAGAATCACAACGAAACATTAGGAATTGCCCCACATCGGCCATTTGATGTGAAATGAGATGATGGGCTCAGCCTCTTACAACACTTACATCCAAATAAAAGCCAACACCCAGCTGTATTAACAAAGGCGACGGGAGCTGACTGGGCATGAAGAACAAGTCAGCCACCCGTCCCTTGGCGTGGGTCCATGGTGTTAGGCACAGCACAGGGCAGGCAGCAGGGCAGCGTGAAGCAGGATGTGCCCCCACTGCCGCTGCCGGCACTGTGCCCCTTCCAGGGAAGGATCTCAGAGAAGCAAGAAATCTCACCTCAAATTAAGTTTCTTTCTTTAAGTAGGCAGCAGATGTCTGCCAGAGATGCGACCAGACTCCCTATTTTCATTATTTACCCTAACCATTACAATGTGTAAGATAACCTGCCCTTTGCTATCTCTTCAGGTAATGGACCACCCCTAAAAAGAAAATGTCTTTTATTTACAGACAACTGCATTATTCTAAGTACTCACAGTATTCTCATCCTTCTCTTTAAGGATGAGAGACCTGAAAAAGAAGTGACGTATCTTACAATCTTTTTATTCCTTGCACTCCCTACTCTCTGGGCCACTTTTACTCCTAAATACTGCCCAAAAAATAATACGGAAAAAAAAATTAAAAAGAGGAAATGGAAAATTTCCAAGGAAAAACATTACTTAAGCAAGCAATTGCACTAAGGCTGTTGAGGGAAGAATGGCTAAGGCCAGCCCGTGCTCCCAGTAGACGTGCTTGCCCATACAACTCCCATTCAGCAAGCACCCTGTGCTTGGCGATGATTTCAACAGGATTACTCAGGTAGCAGAGAGACCCTTACGCAGACATCGAAATATGCACATCTCCATTTAGCCCAGGATATGCATATTATTCGCTTTCATTCCAGCCTCCAAAAGCGGATCTCAGTCGGAGAAGAGACAGGTCAGGCTGCGAGCGAACCCACATCACCGCCGCCTCCACCCGAGGAGTTTCAGCGGGTGGGTTTTCTTTTGCGCCTGACGCTCGGGACGAGCCCCGGGGGCCGGCGAGCGG